GCTTTTTAAAAAAGTTTCATGTACATCATCGCAATCAGCTCTAATGCTCCCTCCCCACAAGGAAAGAATATAACTCTTTATGGGAGTAGAACCCCGGTCTTCCTCCTGTGGCGTGGCTGGTGGTTTTGAACTGTTGACCCTGCAGTTAGCAGCCCAACACATAATCCACTGTGCTACTTAGCTCCTCCTTCATAGTTCTAGAACCCCCAGTTTTTAGGTGGGTCAATGATCACCAGAGAGTTAAGGTACTATTCGATGGAAAGAGAAACGGCCCCACAGGTGGTAACAAGCCATGTCCACAGACAGTGCAGGGAAGGTGAGCGAGCCCCTGGTTTGGGAGGGGAACGCCACTGCCATCAAAGTCAATTCTGAGTCATGGGGACCCTCGGGCATGACTTTTTTACAGAGGCAGATGGCCTCAACTTCTCCAGAGTGGCTTGTGGGTTTGGACCTGTTCACAGTGGGGCACTTCAACCACTGCGCCAGCATTGCCCATCCCTGCCCTTCTGCCCAGGTCCTCAGTTACAACCCCTATGGATGGTGAGTGCCCAAGTCCCACCAGCGCCATGGGCCAGACCACACTTCCTTCTGTAGTGCATGAGGTCCCCAAGAGACCCCATGGGGCAGAAGACAATTCACAGCCAAACAGCCCAGCCAGGCTACAGGCCCAGGGCCACTGCTGCCGACTGTCTCCTCCTCGCTCCACCTCCCCGATGGCCCTGCTTCCCTCTTGAAGAAAAACAGTTATTAAGCCAAAACAAACAGGTTTTCATACAGAATCTTTTGATTTGAAGACTATGAAGCGGTGTGTATGGTTGGAGCAGCATTTGTAGACTGCTGCACGAATTCCAGGAGACCTGTTGGTGCAGTGATTATGCGGAGGGTTGCTCCCCACAAGGCCGGCAGTTCAAAGCCACCAGCTGTTCCTTGGAAGAAAGATGAGTCTTTCCACTCCACTCCCCTAAAGAGTTATAGTCTCTTATAGTCTCAGAAATCCACAGGGTTTACTATAAAGCCCACATCGTTTTACTCTGTCCTCTAAGGGGCCCTAAGGAGCCTGGTGGTGTAGTGCTGATGTGTAGGGCTGCGATCCACAGTGTCAGCAGTTCAAAACCACTAGCAGCTTCTCAGGAGAAAGACTGGGTTTTCTTCTCCAGTGAACAGCTACAGTCTTGGGAACCCACAGCTACAGTCTTGGGGCCGCTGTGAGTCAGCACCAACTGGATGGCAGTGCGTTCAATTGTTTGCTTGTTTGTTTGTTTATTATCAAGCAGCCAATGAATGCTGCCCACCTTGAGGTCTCTTCCTGCCCCAAAGGGTCTTTGGGGTCAGAACCCTGCCTCCACAAGGGGGAAATGGGGACCCAGGGTCAAAATGTGATTACATGCACACACACATACACATACATAAGACACACATGCACACGTACATATGTGCACAAACACATCAAGGAGCTTCTAAAAACTCATAGAAAAATGTCATTGAAGGATAATGACATTTTCCCACAAACTTTTTGAAGCTGATATATATAGACACATATACACACATATACACACACAATATACCTGCGTGTACATATAGATGCATGTACATATATAAACCAAACCTACTGGTATCGAGTTGATTCTGACTCAGAGTGACCCAGTACAGTGCAGGGAGATGAGCCCCTGGTCTAGGAAACACACACACACACACACACACACACACACACACACACACACAGATCAAGTCCATTCTGATTCATACTATTTTTTTCTAAATCATAGTAACCCCGCTAGGGCAGAGTAGACCTATTCCTTAGGGTCCCTAAGATGGTCAGTGTGTCTTTCTGGGTGCTCAGACAGCCTCATCTTTCTCCCGGGACGTGAGGAGTGATGGGTAGGGTTGAACCCTTCAGCAGCCTCATGTTTAGCGCACAGCGCAGCCAGGCGCGCACTCCCCCCCTCTATCTCTCCTGCGTGCGTGTGGTGAGCTCCCTTTGAGAAGGGAAGTGGCCCCCACCTAGAAAAATTAAAAGAAAGCCGGCCCTTGGTCATTCCCATCTCCCCGCATGGTCTGCGGCCGGCCGCTGGTGTGCAAACAGCGGTGCCCAGCAGACAAACAGGAAGGCCTCAAGGAGATGGACGGACACAGTGGCTGCCACCACGGGCTCCGCCCACAGCCATTGCGAGGATGGGCAGTGCTGCCCTCCGTTGTGCACAGGGTCACTATGGGTCGGAACCAACTCGATGGCACATGGTAATGGGTCTCCCCCTGGCGGCCTTGGTGGGAGGCCCTGGAACCCATCTTGACGCTTTTCCATGAGTACTCGGGTTCTTACTGCGTCGTGGCCCCTCTCCTGCTTCTGTGGTCCCACTGGTAACACCAAGGTACAGATCTGCGGCCGCACATGCGCCCTTGACAGCACCATGCCCTCCACGCCCTGCCTGGCGGTGCCAGCTCAGATGCCAGGATGGCCTGAGAGCATGCTCCCTCAGGTGGATGCAGTGTCTGTTCCGTTTAAAGCTTAATAAACGAGTCTCTTTAAGGTACATTCAGAAAAAAGGTGAGGCAGTCTACTCCCATAAAGATGTCCAGAAACCCACAGGGGCAGTTTTTACCCCATCCTACAGGGTTGCCGTGAGTCAGAATTGACTCGGTGGCACTGAGTTTTTTAAGTTATAAAGTACATTGGGAACTCTGTGTTGTAGTGGCTACCAAGAGGTCAGCAGTTCGAAACCATCAACTACTCAGAGGAGGAAAGACGAGACTTTCTACTCCCGTCAAGAGTGCCTATCTTGGAAACTCAAGGACCAGCTCTACCCTAACCTGCAGGGTCTCTGTGAGTCGGCGTCCACTCAGGGCAGTGAGTTTGGGTTTGGGGTGAAACATATGTGGATGGGGTCCCTGGGAGCCAGAATCAACGCCGTGGCGGTGACATGGGGTTTGGGTTGTTGCTTTCCCACTAGAACAACTTAGGCCGATCTGGCAGGCTTGGCCTGCTTCTGTCACCCCTTTTGAGACTTTGCTTGATGCCCCCCTCTTCAGTGACTTCCCAGGCTTCACCCTCCCTCTGCACACCCACACCCACCCCAGGGTTTTCTCCCTCGCCCACTGGTCACAGTCTGAGCGCAGGCAGAGTAGGACTCCCACAGGGTTTTGAAGGGTGTGGGTGAGCTTTCAGCTGCTCACTAAAAGATCAGCAGTTCAAAGCCTACAGCCTGGAGAGAAAGAGGAGGCTGTTTGCTGCCACGCCCATGGGCAGCCACGGACACTCCGTGTCCAGTGGGGCGCCCGGGAGTCGGCACCCGCGGGGAAGCAGTGGACTCCTTTGGTTTCAAAAGCAGATCACCAGCCCTTTCTTCCTAGGCGCCAAGAGGCTCCTTCCAACCATAACCTCGGGCCAGAGCGGAGCGCTGGGTTTCGGCCCGCGAGGCCCTGCCCGCCTAGGTCGCTGCCCCCACCACACTCGTGGGGACAAGGACTACTCTTCCCTCTGCACCTGGGGTCCCCTGGGTGGGGGGAGCTCTCCTTAAATGAATCCCTTGAGTGAGTGAATGACTGATCGGCTGGTCTCAGGGGGTTTCTTTAGCAGAGCTGCCAGACACTGCCCGCCCCCCACACCAAGCGGGCTTATTTTTAAAGCGAATGAGGAAATGAGAGTTCAGGCGGTGCGTCTTTCAGTGAAACTGCGTCACCAGGGCCCGTCCCTCTCCTTTCAGCGGAATAGAGGGTGGAGGCCTGGGAAGGGGTCTGGCCGGGATGGGGCCAGGCGGAGGAGGAGGTCCTGGACAGGAGCAGGGACCGCTCACGGTCACCTGGAGGGATGCATGTGGGGCTCAGAGAAGGGCGGGGACAGAAGCGGAGGGAGCGCCGCCCCTCGCGCCCTCTTGCGGCCGCGTCCAGCAGCGCAGCCTCGAGGTTCCCTGTCCCCTAATGCTTTGGGTTGTGAACCACAGGGCCAGCGGCTGCTCTGCGGGAGAGCCCGGGGCTTTCTACTCCCCTAAGGCATTACCGTTTGGGAAACCCACAGGGGAGGTTCTGTTGGATCGCTTTGAGTTGTAATGGACTCCATGGCAGTGAATCTTTTAAGGCGACCTTCACCTTCCCTCCCCTCACTGCCCTCCTCCTCTGTGACCACACCCTCCAGACAGGGCAGATCAGGGCCCCACCTAGGCAGGACCTGCCCTCCTCCGCTCCCCTACCCGCCACCATTTATAGATTTGTCCCCCTCCCCCAGGGCCCTGCAGGGTTTCAGGTCAGTTCCAGAAGTGGGGATTGCCTGACACCAGGACTACCCCCCTGCCCCCCTTCTTCAGCCTCCTCCCCAGGCAAAGCCTGTGCAGGGAGGGGCTCTGACATCAGGACCCCCACCCCCCACCTTCCGGCTTACTCACCCTCTCCCTCGTCATTGGAGAAGCTGCTGGTGGCTGTAGGAGAGGGGGGCTGGTAAGAGAGGGGGGCCTGTAGACAGCCCAGAGAGCACCCCAACCGACCCCAGACCTCCACCAGCATTTTACAGCCAAGCCCCATGATGTTGGGCATTTGGGCCCATTTTCCAGATGAGTACGTAGTGACTCAGAGAGGCTGGGCAGAAACAAGCCCCAAGTGCAAGGCTACAGTCCACATCTGCCTGGGACGTCAGCACCCACTCTCTTGTGACTCCTAGCATCCCCTCCCCTAAGCCCACCTCCTCAAAGTCCTGCAGCAGTCCCTCCCCACCCTCCCAGGCTCACCAAGCGTGGCCAAACTGCACAAGAGAAGGAGCCTCATGGTCCTGCTGGTATGGCCACTGCTCAGGCTCCCCGGGGCTTCCCAGCTCCCGGCTTCTTGCCTGTTGGGGCCCCTAGGTGCTGGGGCCCCCAGGATGGTGTCTGCTACTGGGAGATAACCCAGAGACAGAGAGGCCAGGCCTCTGCTCCTGGGCTGAGCCCAGGGCACCACTCCTCCCCTGGCTCCTCCAGTTTCCCCACTCCAAGACCTGGACCACAGGCCAGTTCAGGGCAACAGGACACCTGGACACATCACAGCCATCCGTGTCACAGCCTGTTTGGTGAGACCGCTCCAGGACCTGGGCCTAAGGCCAGTCTGGAACAGCAGGACTCCCAGACACACCATAGCCTGTCTGGTGGCCTGAAGCCATGCTAACTAGGTCTGGGGAGAAGGGTGTAAGCGAGGCCGCTCACAGCCCAGAAACCCCAGAACGGGCAGGAGCTATGGGGCAGGGGGCCAGGGGGGGAACTGACCCTCAGAGTACCAGAGCAGGAAGCAGAGGGAGTGGGCCCTGGCCCCTGCTTGTCCCAGGATGGGCATTTGAGCAGCCTGGCTCCTCATGCCCAGGCCAGGTGACTACTGTACCAGCCAGCTGTCTCTGGCCAACCTCAGTTACCCTGTGCAGGAGTCACTTATTAGGAAAATGTTCCCACCCCCTAGGTAACTACCTGCTTCCAATTGGGGTTGCCTTCTCCCTGGTGGACTTGCCTCTCAGCCACCCCCCACCTCGGTGCAGGTGTAGTAAAGGCCATACTGTGGCCTGTCTAGCCACACAGCCTTTACTCCTCCCGCACTCTACTTGATGGTGTGAGATTATGCAAATGAAGTGTTGTGGCCCACCAAGGGGACTGGATGGTTTGCTAATAATGTAAACCAGGTGCACTGTACCCTTTCTGGGTGGGACCATGCAAATAAGGTGCAGGAACACTACTGAGGAGATTGGTCAGTAGTGCCATCCCACTGGGGTTAAAGTGAGCCATCCCAGAGACAGAGAGGCCTCAGGACCACCAAGAAAGGAGAGCCAGGAGTGGAACATGTCCTTTGGCCTCAGGATGGCTGTATTGAGAATCTTCTTGACCAAGGAGTGAAAAAGAGATGGTGGGGGATGGGGTGGGGGCTTTGGAGAGACATGAGCAGCACAGAAACCTGAGACCAGCCAGAGTTGCTGCACCTATGGAGCAAGCCAGTTGGGTGCCTTCAGGCAGACTTGCTGGTGGAGTAGGGAGCCTCTGGGCACTTACTGGTGGAGCTAAAGAACTTTGAAACAGTTGTTTAAATAGGCTAGAGGCGGAGGGGCTATGGGGCTGCAGGCATGGATGAGAAGAAGCCCTACTGACTAAAGAACTGTGTCCTGAGTTGTTTCTGATCCTGAACTGTACCCTGCTACTTAGTAAGCCCTGTTGTCATTAGTGTGGCCACTGGAACAAATGATGGAATGTAGCCTAGAGGAAGAGTCCTGTGGGAGGGACAGTGGGGGTCAGAGTTGGTAAAGGCTTGGAGGATGGAGCTGTATATCTGACCTCCGCCTCTTAGGCATCCATTCAGGCTGATGCTGGCTCTCTCCTCGTCGTGGTAGAGGCGGTCAGGTGTTTCTGCCACACCTCTCACTCCTACCCTGGTGCCCACGGACGGAAGCCTGACTCAGGACCCCTACTTGGTGCTTCTCAGGAGGCCCAGCGGAGGCCTCAGAAGTCTGTGTGCAGTCTACCAGCAGCAGAGTGTCCCCTTGCTTGCCAGGGGCTCAAGCCAGCTCTGTCACTTCCCACTCCCACTCCTGACGCCCAAGCTGGGAATCGACTCAGTGCCCCGCTCTGTGCCGCTCACTTCTCCCATCTTAGTGCTCCAGTGCAGCTCTCACCCAAGTACCACAAGGGGGTGGCTTTCACAAACACATCTGGATTTTCTCACAGTTTTGAGCACATGTCACCAGCTCCAGGGGCATGTGCCCCCTCTGGGGGAGGTCTTGGGCTCTCTTGAGCTTTGGTTTCTGCCCTCCTAGGTGAACTCCCTGTGGCGATGGAAACTTGAGCTAGCTGGGTCTTTGATGGCCCCTTCCTCCCCCCGTTCTGCTGGCCTGCTCAGTTGACTCCTTTCTATCTCAAGAGAGAGGGGTTTAAGGAAGACACTCCCTCGGTTACTATGAGTTGGGCTGCTAACCACAAGGTTAGTGGTTCAAACCCACCAGCTATTCTGAGGGAGAGAGACAAAGCTTTCTACTCCCATGAAGAGTCACTGTCTCAGAACCCCCCTGGGGCAGTAGCTAGGAGTCGATCGACTGGATGGCAGTGAGCTGGGTCCCCCTGACAGCTCATTAACGACGGGTCTATTCTGAGTGGGAATGAGAGCCCTTTCTCTTCATGTACCAGCAATGTCCCTTCCAAATGGTCTGTTCTCCCTTCAGCTTAAAGGCGTTTGAGGGGCGGGGGGAGCTGAGGACTGAAGCGGACTAAGGAGCCAGCAAAGGGCTGCAGGGTGGGGGTGGCTGTGGCCAGGTGAGCCTGAGGCTGAGGTTCAGGGGCCAGGCTGGGGCACTCTGTGTCCCTCACAGGGCCCTGCTCAGAGTAGCACTTGGTCACTGTCTGCTAGGGACCGGCAAGGACAGCGATGGAAGCTTGAGCTAGCTGGGTCTTTGATGGCTAGATGAAGCAGTCCTGGGCCCCCAGACCAAGGTGGCTAGCAGATCCGCCTCATGCCCCCAGGACCTGGTCCCTGGAGGGATTGCAGTTTCCCAAAGGCACCCTGGGGTGCTGCCTGGCCTCCCCACAGACAGTTCTTCAACCGGGCTGCCTGGGAAAATGACCTAAAAACATCCGGGTGCCTGGCTGCACCCATCGTGGTGGCATAGCTGAGTGGTGCAGCTTCTGGAGGTTTCCGGGAGTGGTGCCAGTCTGTGAACCAGATTTAAAGGCACAGGCAGGCAGTTTGGCAAGGGCTCCTGCTCAGCTTGGAAATCAGGTGGCCGCTGCAGCCACCTCCAGGCCTCTCCTTTTGGCCTTGAGTGCCGTGTCTCCCCCCCTGGTGAGGGTACCCCACTCCCACCAAAATGCACACACTGTCCCTGCAGCGCAGATTTACCAGCAGCTGCCCATCGGGAGGTGAGTGGCCCGGCTCTGTTGATAAGGGCGGCGGGGGAGGAGTCCAGACAGGGAACACGGAGTTCAAAACCCCAGCTATGTTCTTCCAGACCCTGAAATCCTAGGTCCACCACTTAGCCTTCCAACCTTCCAGGGGGACCAATTTCCTCATATTAAAGTAGGGCTCCCCCCACACCTGTCCATCGTGTGTGTGGTGCGTCCCATTGTGGTGTGTTGCAGTGAAGGCTAAAGCTGTGCCACCGAGTTTCAAATGCAACCAAGGCACGTAGGTTCTGTAGTTCTCCAGACGAAGATGAGGAAGAAAGGCCTGGTGAGCTACTTCTGAAAATGAGCCAAGATGCTCTGATGTGATGCTACAAAGTACCCCGGGTTAGAGACACCCAGCCGATGCCGCCATACACTGGGGCTCGCCCACGACGGTGGTGCCGAGCCCTGCACTGGGTACCTGTGCTGTCCTGGCCATCAGGGTTCAGAGTCCACTAGATGGCAATTGGTAGCAGAGAAGGTACCACAGGAGGCTAACTCACTGCTGGGTGGGATTCTGAGACTGTAACTCTTTATGGGAGTAGAAAGCCTCATCTTTCTTCTGAGGAATGGCTGGTGGTTTCGAACTGCTAACCTTGTGCTTAGTAGCCCAACATATAGCCTACTACACAACCAGGAGGTTGGGGGAATTAAATCGGGGGAGGGACCCCTCCCACAGGTAATGGTGGTCGGCATGGTTGCCTGGGAGTGGGCTCGAAGCTATTGTGCAGAAAAAAACTGTCCCCAGTGTTTTCCAAGCCCTGACCTTTCCAGGAGCCGGTTGGTCACCAAAGCTCCAAGGGGCTCCTTCCCCAAGTGGAGGTCTCTTAACTTCCCTTGTAGTTAAAAATAAAATGCATTCACGGCCAACTCTATCGCTACATTGTAAAACATTCGCACAAAAAATAGATGCCTTAATTGAAGATAGACAGAAGCAAATTGAAGTCCTTATTTCTTCTGGGCAGCTCCAGAGTGAGTATGCACCTCAGCAGGGACCAGGCCACAGACCCAGGCCTGGAGGTGGTCCCCAGCGGCCCGGAGTGTGGGTCCAGGCGGCGGCAGGCTCTTGGCTACGGCTCCACGGTGCTGGGATAGCGGAATCTGCAGACTGGAACGGGACTTCCGTGTGGTCCAGGGCTGTGAGAATGCATCCCTGCTGGATGTCCGAGGGAGGATCCCAGCCAGGGGGACCTGGGGCCCGGGGAACCTGGGCACGGGAATCCAGGGCAGAAGGAGCGCGGGCGCGAGGCTCGGGGACGAGGGGACTCGGGCTCTGGAGAGTCGATGGGACCTGACTTGGAGAGCAGCCTTGACAGGTCCTCCACCAGATGCCACTTATCCTTGACTTGCTGCAGGGGAGCAAGCATGCGCCTTGAGAGTTGGATTGAGGCTCAGGGATAGGCCGAGGCCCCGCCCCCCCGGAAGAGACCCCTCCCATTAGCTGAGGTTTGTCCTCCCCCCGCCCCCCCAGGCCCGCCTCAGTCACTCCAAAACCATATCCACGGAGTGGCATCTTGAGGCCACGCCCATATTTGTGCTGGCGCAGCGCATGCAAATTTTCATCCACTCCCCCCCCCACACCACTCCCCCAAGCCGTGCCCTGTCATCAGTCCCGCCCCCGCCCACAGGCCCCACCCCCAGGGCTCAGCGTCAAGCTCCTCCCTCCAGACCACGCCTCCACACTGAGACCACGCCTCATAGGAAGTTCCGCCCCGCCCATGGACGCTCACCCACAACAGCTGCTTCCGGAGCTCCTGGATGGCCTGGGCGTTGGCTTTGGCCTGGGAGACGCACGCTGTCAGGACAAGGCTTGGGGCAGACATGGGAGCGAAGGTCATACAACGGATCACAGGCGCCCTCCTTCCTTCCCGCCCCGCCCCCTGGTAGTCAGACCCCAAAGGGCCCGGTTTCCTTTCTCCCAGGACCTTCCCACCCCTCAGCAGAGCAGCGGAACGCCACAGCACTCATCGGGCCCCCCGGGAGGCTACCCCTAGAGGGTGGACCTGCACCTCCAGACAGGAGGCCCCCTGTTCCCTGGCAGGCACCTGAGCAGGAGGAGGAGCGGGAAGCTGAAGGCATTGGAGCTGAGGTAGTGGAGTGTGCGCTGGCCGACCAGGGGGAGGTGAAGGGCCACCAGCTCCGGGACCACCTGCCAGGGGGCCGAGTAGGCGCCGAAGAGGCCGCAGTCCCAGGAAGAATGGATGCTGGGTAGGGGACCAAGCGGAGGGAAGCTGGGCATCAGGGCAGGAACTTGCTCTGCCCACCGCACTCAGTGCTCCTCTCTCCCATCCCAGACCCCCCACCCCACCCCAGCAATCACACTGAGTACTCCTCCCTCCCATCCTACGCCTGCCCTCACCTGGTGACCACATAGCCCAGGGGCAGCACAGCCAGGAGCAGGCCCAGGAGGAGGACCAGCTGGAAGAAGAAAGTGGAGCTCGAGGCACGGAAGAGACGCGGGGACGTCCTGGAATTCTTCAGGAGAGTGTACTGGACGGGAGGAGCAGGGAGGCCATGAAGACTCCAAGCCAGAGATGTGGGTACCGACTGACCCCTGTGCCCCATCAAGCTCCCTCCCAGACCCTGCTGCCCCCAATGCTCACCTTCTTAATGTAGAAGGTGAGGAAGATGAAGATGGTGTTGAGCAGGGGCAGCAGCGGGCAGTAGAAGAGGCCCATCCAGGTGACTGTCTGCCCTGCCACGATGTCCAGCACATTCTTGGGGACCAAGAACTCCTCCCGGTCCAGCCAGGCCCAAAACTGGCCAGAGAGCCGATCTACCAGCAGTCTATGGAGGGAAAGTCCGGGGGTATGTGGACCACCTAAGCCTTGGCTGTGGCTCCTGAAACATGCCATGTGCCCTTGTGCCCAGGGCTCCCACCCCCACCCCCACCCGGGTTACCTGCGAGGCAGGGTGACCAGGAAGGTGAATGCCACCATGAGGAGGAAGTTGAAGATGCTGAGTTTGTAGAATTCCTCCCCCACGGAATTCTCCCAGCACTGGGGTGGGGGTGGGTGATGGGTGGGATGGGGGGCGTGGAACAGAAGGGAGCAAAGGAGGAGGAGTCAATCACCACTGATGGTGCAGGCCTTCCCTTCCCCACCCCCTGGGGGGCTTCCCAGAGAACAAGAAGGTCTGGAGCAGGGCTGCTGCCCCCACAGCTACTGAGAGATGGACAGTACCCCCCCCACCCCACCCCCCGAGGTACTCTGTGGGGCAGCTGGGCCTGCAGCTGACCCAGGTGGGACAATGAGAGATGGAGAGGGACAAGGGTAGGGCCCCAGCGGAGCCAGCTGCTGGCCACCTGGTAGTCACAGGCGTTGTAGCTGTAGGACTCGCAGCTTGTTGTGTTGCGGCCCAAGCACAGCACGGTCTGGCCCAGCGAGAAGGAGAACATGCCCAGGCTGGTCAGCTTCAGCACCACACACCTGGAGGTGGGCGGCCGCCGTCAGCCCGTCTGCCCTCTCTGCCAAGGCTCCCAAAGTCTATACCCCAGGACCCTGGCCTCCCAAGTTTCCTGTTCCTCCATCAAACTTAGAAGATACTGGCTGGGCCAACTGGCCTCCCCCTATCCCCCTCTTGGAGACCCACAGGCTCACAGGTAGGGAGAGATCATAGCCCTCAAAATCCTGGGGGCGGTTCTATTCTGCACTGAGGGGTCCCATGACTCAGGACTGGCAGCCATTAGCCAGAAAGGCATGTGCTTTTATGCAACTTATCGACGACGATGATGATGACGTGAGATCATGATACCCCTGGTCCCTTACTGCCAGTTAACATCTGCACTCACCCTGCCCCGCCCTGTGCACCCCATGGTGACCTCTGACCTGTCTGGAGCGCCTAGTGAAGGCACAGCTGGGCCCTCTGGGTAAGGGGTGAGGTGCTGCTCTCAGTACAGAACTGGACCACCCAGGGAGTCCTCTTTGGAGGCCGCTCCTGCCCCAGGCCCGTGTTCTAGAAGAGTTTGCCTGCCTTGCCTCAGGTCTGGAGCTGAATGATAGGAGTTTCCCAGCTCAGGGGGAACCCTGGGTACACACTCCTCCTCACACATCACCAGTCCTGCCCCTGCCCCCCCTCCTAGGGCGGCACTGACTGACCAGATGAGGATGACATTGACCTCTGTGTTGGGGGGCAAGTTCTCCAGCTGGACTAGAAACACAAAGAGCAGGGGGCCCAGGAAGTTGACCATGGCGATGACCCCAGGGGGCAGGTACTGAAGCAGTAGAAACAGCTCCTCCTGCAGAAGACACAGGGAAGGAAGGTGGGGTGAGGGTGTGTGTGAACAAGTGATTGAGTGTGAGGGATGAGCATGAATAGGAGAGTGTGCGATCACGGGTGTGAGGCTGGGTGTGAACAGTGAGTGTCATCACGGGTGGGTATGAAGTGAGTGTGTGAGCTTGTATGAGGCTGGGTGTGAACAAGTGAGTGGGAGTGACCATGGCTATGAGTGTGTCTGGAGTGTGTGCGTGGGCCAGGGGTCCCAGTGGCAGCACAACCGTCTTTGACTGGGACCCCCAGCTTGCCCTCAGGGTGGTGTGGGGCTGCAGGAAGGGAACAGAGTGGGCAGTACCTCCTTGTTGTCCTGCGAGTACTTGGTGGCCCAGAAGATGGCACTGATGGCCCCGGCCACCAAAAGCCCAATGAGAAGGTTGACCCGCAGGTAGGTGAGCAGGTGGTAGGCCCTCTGGGCCCCGGTCTGCTGCTGCACCTGTTCGAATCTCTGCTGCTCCTCCAGCTCCACCTGTCGTGGGGGAGGGCTTAGGCCAGCAGCATTCACCCCACTCACTCCCACCCTTTCCCACCCATACACCGTCACACACACTCCCACGCACAACACCAATAACATCCCTATTCAAATACACCAGCTCATTCTCACACTCCTATATTCACTAGTCATGTCCCTATTCTCATGCTCACACTGATTCACACAATTTCAGACTTACATATACTCACTTATTCATACAACATTCATTCATGTAGCCGTGTTCACATGCACTGCCTCTTCATGCCCTCTCACACTCACCCCTTCATCACACTCAGTCATTTCACTTACACATGTGTACACACGCCTACACACACTCACATGCCCATGTGCCCACTCCCACTCATTGGTGCAAACTCGCTCGCTTGCATTCATGCATCCACATGCCCACAAGTGCACACTCACCCATTCCTACACTCACGTATTCACACATGCATAAATGCAGACACGTACTCTCAGACTGACTTGCTCACACACCTTGAACTCCTTGCTGATTTCACGTTTCTTGAGGAAGGCGGCCTCAGGCACGTGGATGCAGAAGTCCCAGGAGGAGAAGACCTTGGTGCTGAGCGCCCTCCTGTGGCCCCTGCCCAGGAACGGCTTCTGTGGCAGCCCCTTCACCATCCTGCAGGGAGGAGAGGTCAGGGGTCCCTGGGGAGGAGCCCCAGGAGTCCTTGGCGGGGAGCTGGTGATACAGGGACAGTAGGCTCTCCTCCTGAGGTCTGCAGAATTCAGACCCCAGAGCTCCCGATGAACAGGACCTCCACGGAACTTCCTGTCAACTTGGGGGCACCCTGCCTAGGACGGGGTGACCAGGTAGGACCCCAGGAAGGGGAAGACCGGGCTTTGCTCTCACCGCCTCAGGGTCCCACAGAAGCAGAGGAGCAGGCAGAAGAGCGGGCTGAGCAGGTAGGCCAGGCGGACACTGTATGCTGAACTGGTCTCAGGCCCCGCACGGTAGGCCCCATAGAAGAGGTAGGTATTGTTGAAGGCCTGCGGACCAGAGCTGGCCATGAGCTGTGGACAGGCTCTGCTCTGCGTGCTTCTGTGTTAATATTAGCTCACCGCCTCCCACCATCAGCTAGAAAGAGTGCCCCTTTGACGGAGGCTCAGAGAGGTTCGGCAGCTTTCCCAAGGTAACACAGCTTGGAGGACTCTGCTTAGGACTCAAACCCCAGAAGCCATACTGGTCACCACACCATAGTTTCCAGTGATGAGAGGAGGACTGGGCACGAGTCGTGCCCTGGACAATCTCCCCACCCTTGTCCCTTGTGACCCGCTACCCCAGCCGGGCTCTGAGAGCCACCATACGTGTGTCCATGCACCCCCCACCCCCTCTGGTCCACTAGAAGCTGCAAGGGCCCTGCAAGAGTGGGCATTTCCTGACTGGGAGTCACTAATACCAGGCCCTCAGACCCTCCCAGGGCCGTGGCCAGAACCACTCACCCTGCCAGTCAAGATGTTCCAGAATTGGTTGTGGAATCTCTGAAGGCCAGCTGGGGGCTGGTCACTGCCAGGGCACTGGAGGGCTGTGGGGGAAGAGCAGGGGCCAGTGGGAGGGCCCGCCCCCCCCCCCACTAGCTCCATAATCCCAACCCCAGGAGGGCTGTGCTGTGTATGCTGTGGGCCCAGGAGAGTCATAGAACTGGACGCAGGAAGGATGCTGGGGTGGAGACCCGGTGAACCACCCCCTAAGCCTCCCCCACCCAGCTGCCCAACTCAGAGCCCTAGGCTACCCCCACTGGTAGGCGGGCTCTGAGGGCTCTCTCCTCTCCCCCGTACAACTGAGTCACACAGGGACACTCACTCAGGTTCAGAGCTGGCCCGGGGACAGGGGGATGTAGCCAGACCAGGGGGAGCAGCACAAAGCTGGCGGTCAGCAGGAAGGTCAACAGGTTGAGCAGCAGCAGGAAGCGCAGGAAGGTGAAGTAGGACTGGATGCCGGTGCCAAAGAGGCCTAGGGGAGGGCAGCAGGGTGGCCAGGGAAGCACCGAGTCAGGCCCCAGGCTGACCCCTGCGTCCTCCAAAGGGAACGTCCGCAGCCGGGGTCATTGGAGCAGTACTGAGGACGGCCACTAGGAGGTGCTGTCGTCCACTCATCGGTAGACTGAAGTGCCGGAAGGGAGGTTGGATGGATGGAAAGGAGGGGGTCAAGGGCAGGTGACAGGATGCCCTCCTTCTAGGGAGGGTCGTGGGAGCGGGTCCTACCCCCGATTTCGTAGAGAGCCGCCTCCCAGAGCCCGAAGCCTCGGGCCAGCCGTTGCACGGAGTCCCGGAGGCGTCGTCTCTCCATCTGTCGCTTGCGCAGCCACCGCTCCCAGCACGAGGGCTGCTCCCCGTCTGGAACTCGCAGCCACCTGCCAGAGAGGTGGTAGTGACAGGGCGCCCAGTGTCACCCACCCACCGTGCCACTGGGGTCGTCACCCTGCGGCCTGGCACCCACCAGATGACGCGCTTGTCCTCCATGGGGTAGGGTAGGGCGCGCACCGGCACCCTGGAGGCGCACAGCCGCTCCATCTCCTGCTCCCACAACTCCGCGGAGCCAGGCCCAGGCTCCCCGGGGGGCTGCCCAGACGCTGCCAACCCTCGCCGTTGCATCGCGGAGTCTGAGCCGCCGGGACCTGGTCAGAAACGAAGGGGACGGGTCCTACTGTGTCTCACTGAAGGGCTCAGAGCCACAGGCTCCCCACCGTGAAATGGGGAGAGAGGGTGACAGACGAAGACTCGGGGCGCCACGTTCAAAGCCCAGGCCCGGGTCGCCTGCTCCTTTCCTTGGACCCTCCCTCACCTGTGTCGGCAGCCCACAATCCCCAGGTCACTCGTAGGGGAGAGACCCTCCCCCGCTCCCCACGCGCTCAGCCCATGAGACGACCGCTTTGTCTCAAACCCACAGCCCAGAGTGTGAGCGCTGCAGGGGCCGGGACCCCGTCCGCTGCGTGCTCAGTCCGGTCCCCTGGCAGGGGCCGCCTTGGGTCCTCCCAGGGGCTCCAGATGAAGCGAGTCGCTGCAGCTCCAGTTCCGGGAAGTGGTGGCGGCGTCCCGCGCCGGCAGTCCCTCCATCCCCAACCCCCTCTTCCGCCTTCTTCCCTCATGCCCCCCGCGCCCCACGCCCTGCAGCCGCTCACCCGCCCAGGGAGCCCCTGCAGCCGGCCCCTCCTCGGGCCCGTTCCCGCCACGCCGCGCGGGGCTGCGAGGGTGCCGACGGGGAGGGAGGAGGTGTCACATGACAGGAACCCCGGCCCCCCACCCCAGTTTCCTCTGCTCGAAACCTGCGGGGCCCTTGGCGGCGGCACTTCCTGCGGCCCTCGGGGCGCCCAGCGCAGGTGGGAGCTTGCGGTGGAGCCCTGCCCGCGGCGGCGCGGCCCCGGCACCCCTGCACGGCGCCCGCGGGCGGGCAGAGGGGCGCCCAGCAGTGCTGGGGCGGCGAGGCGGGAGCCCCCTCCCCACCCCTTCTGGCGGGAGCCGGGGCCTGACCCGAGGGGCCTGACGGGGCGGGGCCGTGAGCGCCAGATGGCAGGAACCCGCTCCTTATCTGTCTGCAGCCGGTCGCTCCTTCCCGGTGGCTCTACGCGATTGTGACAATGGTGGGTGGCCCTCTCACAGCAGAAGCCCGCGGACGTTATTTCTCAACCTTCCGCCTCGGAGTAGCGGTTACCTCCACCCTTGCCCTTTCCTTCAGACCTCCGCCTGCAGCCTTTCCTCCAGGACCCCCTCTCTTTACAGGGGGGTCGTGAGGGTGGTGGTGGTGG